GTATATGGGGGTGGTGGGAGGGGAGAGGGTGTTTGGGGGGCTGCGAGGCTCTGCATCGGTCCCTCCGGAACCCCCGTTGTTTCCAGGTCAGCACCTTGGCTCACGTCCTCGTGCGTCATGCCGCGTTGTGCTGCTGGGAGCGCACCGCCTTCATCCATACGCGCAACTCCCTCCTTCACAGCTCGGCTCTCACCAATTCAACTCCTCCCTCCCCCTTGCGCCGCTGCCAGGCTGGCGTGTGTGTTTGTGAAGTTCCTGGAGTACAGCCTGGCGGGGATAGCCTGCGGCCTCGTGGGCCAGGGCGTCGCAAACGGCCTCATGACTGCAAAGTAGGTCTCGGAGGTCGCAGGGCAGAGGGGCGGCGGCGGCGGCGCGGGCTGAAGGGGCGCCTGCTGCCGCCAAGGGCATTGGGGTCGAGGCGCCAGGCGTCCGAGGGCGCAATGGCACCACACCTGAGGACAGTTGGGTCAACTGTGTCCCTGCTGGTGATCCCCCCGGCCTGGCCTTCCTCAACGCCCGGCCCCCTGCACTGCCCCGCCCCCACCCCCCAGGCGCCACTTTGCGGGCCCCAGCGAGCACGACGTGGCGGTGCCCCCGCTGCTCAAGACGGCGCTGGTGTGGGGCCTGTTCATGGGCGTGTCCAGCAACCTGCGCTACCAGGTGGTGTTTGGCCTGGAGCGCGCCGTGGACATGACCATCGCCAGGAAGGTGCCGCAGGTCGCGTACGGCACCACTGTGGCCATTCGCTTCGTCAACAACGTCATAGGTGAGGGACGCACGGGGGGAAGGGGGAAGAAGGAGCGGAGGGGTGTGTGTGTATGTGTGAGTGTGTGTGTGGGTGGGTGGGTTGGTGCGTGTGCGTATGCGTGCGCGTGCATGTGTGTTCGCGCGAGAGAGAGAGAGAGACAGAGAGAGAGTGCATGTGTGTGTGTGTGTGTGTGTGTGTGTGTGTGTGTGTGTGTGTGTGTGCACGCGGGATGGCAGGCTGTGCTTGTAATGCATCTGCACGTGGCGCTTGCGTACCGCCAACCAGCAAATCTCGCCCTGCTCTGCTGCCGTCCTCTGGGACCCCCCCCTCCGACACCCCCCCCCCCCAAATACGCACCCTGCCTGCGTGATCTCAGGCGGCGAGAACTTCATCGGTGGGTCCTGGGCCGGGTGCACGCACACGCCCTGTTGTTTTTCCACGAGATTGCAGACGATTGCCGGACAACTCACCATGTATCGCAAGCCCTCGCGCCATGCTCGCACACCCGCCTGTGCACATGCACACCGCACGTGCTCAGACGCAATTTGTCGCGGATTCTGTGTCGCCGCCCCCCTCTGCACGCAGACTTGGCGCGCTGGGCTGGCGTGCAGTGACGCCCACTACTGCCTGGACCCCGAGAAGACAACACAAACCATTCTTGACCGCATGCGACGCGTCCATCTCATACACACACGCACACTCACACACTCAGCACTCAATTGTTTAATTGTCTTGTAATTCATTACACAGGGTTATGCTTGCCCTCGGGATCATCTAGCGTGTGGGTAGTCGACCACTCTTTCGACGTGGGACGGTTCCCTGTCACGCTGGTCGCGCATATTGCCTTGCAGCGCTCCAGCTGTCATTGCAGCACCAGCAAGCACCGGCGCTCGGCGGCAGCCAACTGTCAGCTGGGCACAGAGCATGTTTGGGCGGTGGTCCCCTCCCCCTCGCGCTAACGGCTCCCATTGTCAGCTCACACCAGCTCAAAAACAGCTGTGCACAGCTGTTGGTTTTGCAGAGCTACACTCGGCACGAGTGCTGGGCCATTACACTCGCGCGCTGCACAGGCTGCGTGTGGTGCAGATGTGACCCCATAGTGACTCATCCATGTGCGGGTATGCAGCGAGGCTGTTGCAGCTGGTGTTCCTAAGATCAAAGGCTCCCACTGCAAAGGGTGGTTTTAATCTGCCGGTGCAATTTGTTTCAATTCAGCGACAGTGCTTGGCTGCGGGCAAAAGCGTTTTCACGGCCAGCCATCAATGGCACGCGCCCGCCGACTTTAGACATAAAGTGCCCTCCAAACCACTGCACATTAGCCGCCGGCAGCACGGGCCTGGCAACCCGGCGCCGCGGCGCCGTCACAGAGCGGCCACGCACCCTACAACACCCTAACAACACAAACAAGATCGCGCCGCCGCAGCCGCCGCCGCCGCCGTGCGTCGCGGCCCCCCCTGGGAGCGGGCGCTGCTGCGCGCGGGGCCGCTACCCCGCGCTCTGCTTGGCAGCCGCCACCGCGACGCCGCACGACGGCCCGGTGCGCTCGACCCAGCAGTTGCAGCGGCCGCTCTGCAGGCTGCAGAAGCCGCCGGCCGGGTCGCAGGCGCCGCAGGCCAGGCCCCGGCAGGTGCGCGCGTTGTCGGGGCACCGCAGCGCCCCGGATGAAAAGCGCCCCGTGGCCTTGGCCGCCAGGTTCAGAGTGGTGCCTGGGGCGCGCAGGGGGAGGGGGCCCGGGCGGCGGGGTTGCAGCGCGGTTGCCGGGGTCATCACAAGAGGTGGTTGACTGAGGGAGTTTGCGTGATCCCCGCAGTTGGGACGGGGAGAAGGGGGGGAGGGTGGACATCCAGGCAGGGCGTGCTGAGGCCCGAGGGGGAGCCTCATGCAACCATCTGAACAAGGACCCGCACCAGGTACGAACATAGACCATGGCCCCTGCCCGACCCGGGGGCCTCTCACCCGTGGGACAGGCCAGCTTGGTGGCGGGGGCGCCCCCCGCCCCCTGAATGACCACAGACAGCGCCCCCTTCGCGTCGCACGCCGCCCGGAAGCACAGCGCGCGCTCAGACGCGCACTGCGCCGCTCCGCCGCCGCCGCCCGCCACGCACAGCGTCTTCGCGCCCTTCGCCGCCTGCGGGGGCGCCACGAGGTCGAAGCACCGGTCGTCCCGCGCCATGCCGCTGGCGCCGATGCGCGGCAGTAGCGCCTTGGTGGCGGCGTCGAGGGCATAGGGGGGCAGGCAGTCAAAGTTGCCGCTGAAGTCAGAGGCGGCGCCGCCGGGGCCGGAGTCTTTGGGGGCGTCGCGGCCGACAATGAGGCAGCCGTCTGTGAAGCTGCTGGCGCGGCAGACTCCCCACAGGCGGGCGCCGGCGGAGCAGCGGACGGCTGGGGTGGTGGCCGTGGGTGGGGGGGAAGGGGTGATTAGGGTGGGGTCGGTGGCGGCGCGGTGACACGGGCGCATGGGGTTGCTGCAGGGCGGTCAGAGGGGGTGACAGAGAGCTAGAGCAGTGCACACAAAGCCGCCCCTCAATCTCTGCCCTTCCCTCCGCGCACCCCCTCTTGAGAAAGCCGCGCACTCCTGACAACCCCCACTCACTATTTGCAGAGCCCTGGGGGCAGAAGAGGTCTTGCCTGGGGTTCTCGGCCGCAAACTGCTGGCAGCTGCCCAGCAGGAAGGTGCAGCCCGCCCCCGCCCCCCACTCCAGGTCAGCGGCCTGGCTGTAGTCGGGCTGGTACCAGCCGCTGTCCTCCAGGGCGGCCAGGGTGAGGCGCGACATGACGGCGCGCTGACGGTCCAGGGGGCGCGCGGCCGTCATCAGCTCATGCTGTGTGTGTGGGGGGGGGGAGGGAGGTGGGG